TATATATATATATATATATATATATATATACACACACATACATACATACATACATACATACACACACAACAAAATATGCAACCTGTGACGAGCTGGAAATATGATTTTGTGGGCTTCTTACTATAAAATTTCATATTACTAAAATTGAATGAGCTAATTCTTTTTTGAAAATAATTGTCCTAATATTTCACATTTATAAAACTGGTCAAGATTATTGTCAAAGTATGTGTAAATAATATATATATAAATATATTTATATATATAATCCAGTAAAATAGTCATACCAATCCTAGAAAAACAAAGATCATACAACAAATCTTTTCATACTAGATTATCTCTTTAAAGAGATGAAAATTATTTATAGGTTGAAATCAAAATATCATAAAAAATTTAAAGTCATGGTAATATGAAAAAAATCTGTAATTCTGGAATTTTTTATCGTTCCATTATCAGTGTGAAAAACCTACAAAATAATTCACAACTTTATAAAAAATATAAGTGAAACTTTATTGATACAGATGTAAGTTTAGAAAGAACACATTAAAATGATTATATTTACAGTGTAGGCTGGAAAAAATTAGAAACACAAATACATGCTGAGAAATTGTTAATCAAGCACACTTAAAGCTTACTGTACTAGGCAGAGTTTAAGTGGCATATAAAGAGAGCCATACTTTTATTTTCAATGAGGCCAGGTGGTTAGGGCGCTCGACTCGCAATCTGAGGGTTGCGAGTTTGAATCCCTGTCACACCAAACATGCTTGCCCTTTCAGCCATGGGGGCATTATAATGTGATGGTCAATCCCACTATTCGTTGGTAAAAGAGTAGCCCAAGAGTTGGTGGTGATGACTAGCTGCCTTCCCTCTAGTCTTACACTGCTAAAGTAGGGATGGCTAACGCAGATAGCTCTTGTGTAGCTTTGTGCAAAATTAAAAACAAACAATTTTCAATGTTTTCTAGGTAGCTAGAGCTAGTCACAATTAAAATAAGAGACCTATTTGTGTAAATAACTTAATGGTGGTACACGTTTTACTGTTATTAGTATATGTCTAGTAATTTCTGACATGAGCAGGTTATTCAGCAATCAAAATTTTTGAACGAATAAAGAATAATGAATATTAAGTTTTGTAACTTTTTTTTATTATATCCATCTTTAATGGTCATGTACCTGTGTGAACAATACAGTGAAATTCTTAAGTGACCATATTATCTATACTAATGAAGAAAATTGGAATTCATATTTTGTAAGTATAAAGTCCAACCTTTTCACTGATCAGTGTGCTGTTTAAATGCACCCACAGTCTGATAATCTCATAAATAACTATACATTTACCACTCAACATTAATGTGCTAAACTATGAAAAGTTAACTTTGCACTTACCTGACATCAGACAATAGCATGAATGTTTCATCAAAGTAGGTTTGATATTAATGAAATAACTTCTAACGTATTGAAAATGTATTTTTAATACTCTTTAACAATACAGCATATTGTCTGTGTATTTGCTCATTTATTTTTAAGAATATAAATATGAATAAAATCCTCTTTATTTCAGGTATGACACAATTGATGCTTGTTATGCTGTAGTCCTTGAACTCCTACAAATTAGTGAGACTAATCTTGAAAAAGGCTTCGTTCTAACAGAATTGGCAGAATTAATCTGGAGTCATAATTTTCCTTTCAAATGGTACTTACTTTTACCAACCATATTCTAGAAATTGATTTTAGAGGAAAAAAATTTACTGATTTTCTTAATTCTGTCAATCATATCAATAAACATTTTTAAGTTTCGTATGTATTATTTACTAATTGTAAATGGAGCGTCCATGATGACAACATTGTCATATAAAACCAGCCAAAAATATTTCTAACAATTGTGAATTTACTCAAAGAATTTATGAAGGAAAAATATTATAATTTTTTAAAACAATCTAAAAAAAAAGTACTGAATTTAACTATGTCAGACTTAAACTTAGTTGTTGTGATAAGGGGAAAAAATATCAATCCTTGACTAATGTGTATAAAAATTAATCCGAAATAAAAGAAGTATCATAATAATTCTTCCAGAACAACACTAATATACATATTTATGTTTAATAATATGAAAGTATAGGGGAAAAGTTTTGTACAAGTTGTGCCGACATAGATAAACTAAATCTGTATTTTGATATTGCTGTGGTGTGTGTAATTATTTCAGCAGATTTTAATGGCCATTATTAGTTTAATATACCTCTGTGTAGGTTACTGAAGTATAAATTGCTGTTTGGCTTTCAGGACTGCAGCTGAATGTTGCCAGAGGGCTATTGATTTGCTGGAAGAAATTATCAAAATGGATGCTTTATCTGAGTTTCAGATGGTACAAGTTAAACTGCAGCTGGCTAGCTCCTATTTCTGGTTGTATGAGACAAGAGTTCAGGAATTACAAAAAGCTTCTCAGGTGGGAGGAGAATTATGTATAGAACAACACATTTTACATCAAGTTTAATATATGCATGTTTTATGTCTATGTGAAGAAGTTAATTATGAACTGTTTAGTGACTATGAAAAGAAGGATATTTAGCTTTCATACATACAAAATAGAAATTAGTTCAAACCTGTGATTAAAATTGTGCGTGATTAACCCTGTCTTACAAAATATTATGAAATGATTGCATTTACTCAAGTACTACATGATATTGAATACGACGTGCACCCCATTTTTAGGGAAGGCAGGTGAAAAACAAATTTTTTCTTACAATTTCGAGCTTATTGAGCAAAAATATTACAGATGTTAATCACCAATATTATTTGTCTGTGGCCACAATCTATCTACAATTGTCATCCTATAATAGAAAATATGCCCTTACATGTGGCATATTTCTCTTGGGAATTGTCTTTTGTTTAAGAAAGACATAAAGTGGAAACTGTCCGATCAGCTAAGATACACAGCATTACTGTGCAACGTTGCTTTTCATTGCCACCCATTCTGATTGACAGTTTTCTCTCCTTTAATACTCATGGTAGTGTCCAATGGCACCTCAAAATATACTGGAGTTTGATCAGCATTTCTAATTTGAGACATCAGGTATGAATGCTACTTTTGCAACCAAGTCACACACTGCTGGAAGAACAACAATTTTTCTTCATGTGAATCTGGAAGACACTGAGCAATTGGTGTTCATTTTCTTAGGGAGAAACCATTTCTTTTAAAAGAACCTTTTCACCCATGTTCAAGTTGCCTTGAAGTCATCTTCATTCTTCCTGAGTTCCTTCCAGATTTGAAATGCTTTTTATTTGCACGTATCTTATACCCAAATTCCCAACTCTCCTCTGTATAAATAGCAAGTTTTTCTTCCATCCAGGGAATTTGCCTTCTGTCTATGAAAAATTCTCTGGTTGCCAATACTTTGCAAGAGCGATTCTTTTCCTTCAGTTTCTATTTCACAGTGCAATGATGTTGTATTCTTTTCTTGTAGCACAGTTTCTAATAACTTGTACTTCTCTCACAACTTTTTTCTTTCACTCACGGTAAAAAAACAATTCATTACACTCATCTTAAACTTGCTTGCTTAGTGGTATTTATACACAATATATGCCAAGTATTTACTGTTGCTCAAACTATTTTGAATACCGTATTTATTCAAGCACCAACTGCACTATTTTTCCAAAATTCTGATTTTAAAAATCAAAAGCATATCTTATACATGCCTTACCTAATAATATAATAAATTATTTCTAATTACTGTTGATTAATAAGTATATTGTTAAAAGGAACTTAAAGAATTAACAATAATTTTAAGGTAAAATAATGAGCTCACAATTAAACTGTCTTGGAAGTTTTTTCTTTTTTTGTATACAGTAAAAACAGCTTATTTAGGTTGTAGTGGAAAGAACTAATTTCATCCTTCCATAACTACTGAAGGATATATCTTTAGGTATATTCAGGTGAATGTTTCTAAATTTTTGTGCAGGTCCCCTGCATGTAATTAGTGACATATATGTAAACTTTATGTACAAAGATTGTAAACTTATGCTGATCCTCTAGCTTAAAATTTACATTACACAACAATTTTTCTGCAAGACTTGTGCTTGTTTGACCTTGTTTCTGTGTCACACTTTCCTGAAGTGTGGTCATACTCATTTCAATAGATAGTATGAGTTTGAGCTTCATCTTCCTCGATTATATGAATAATCATTGATATAAATAATTTGGGGATTTTTGATATGCAGCACTTGAATTTCGGTCTGACTTAACAGTGTGGTATCATAATTCTTCCTATACTAATCTTCAGCTCATGCAAGTTTTTGTTCTTCTATTATAGCAGCCAGAGAAGTTTATACAATAAACTGAGGCAGGCCAGTACTGGTAAAACCACTATGTTGTGAATAAAGATTTTAGTTTATTTATAAACATGTGTTTGTTTATTTTTTCTTTGCTGGCAATGTTCAAAAGTATTCTCTGCATGACATTTCCTGAACCTTCTGTGTTGTGGATATTTAATATTTTTCTGTTGAACATAGTGTGCCTGAATACTGTACTTTTTCTAAGGCACATATTACCCTGGTGGGTTTCCAGTCTAGGATGATTTTGAAACTATCAAAATATTTTACAGAAAAAGAAAGTCAAGAAATTTCAGATAAACTTTAATTTTTATAATGCTAGACATCTAATTAATTAAGTCAAAATGGTAGAAAAAGGAAAATTTTGCCTAAACATTACTTGGATAAGTGCAGTTTTTTTTCTCAAATTACACAGTAGTAGCTCCTCAATATGACCGGTAATTTATGTTACTAAAGGAAAACATCCTTAAAATACTATTGAGTATTTCACAAAATCGATTTTCACAGTATCAAAAAAGAAAACCTGGATTTTGATCTACCTGGAGTTATTTCCAAATGAATGATATACAAAGTAAAAAATCAACAAAAAATTGCAATAGATACTTGAGCAAAATTACTTGATTGAGAAAATACATAAAATGTAATTTATGTAATAATCCACATCACAAGGCATGTACAAAGTCTGGTTACCTTACCTCCCTGTTACCACCAAATTTCTTGGTGAAATTTGTGTAGGATTTATGATTTATATTAAAAGAAATTTGTCCAGCAAAAAGCATGGTAAAGATAGATTAAAACATATCTCAAAAACATTTTGGTTAACTTGCATCAATAAACTACAAACTAGTATTTGTTAATGAAGCAAATATATATTTTTCCGTGTTGCATTTCATGTGTTTTCCCACTTAAGAATTAAATTTTAGCTAGATAATAAACAGCAAAGTATTTGGCCATAGCATATGGGGAAGTTATATGTAATTATTTATTAATATTGCCTATATATTTTACTTGGAAATAAGCCTTATTGCCACATGTTGAATCAGTGACTAAACATCAATTTTCAAATAATAAGATTGTGTATTGAATGTGTTAAAGATATATTTTTTATTATATGCCAATTATAATTTTTAGTAGCAGAGATAAGTATCTTAATAACTGTATAATATAAATGTTCACTTTAGTATTAAGACAACTGTTTGGGGTTTTCACTAATGTCTTGACTTATTCCAAATAATTAGTTTGGTTATTTAAATAAAATTATAAACTGTATAGTATTATTCTGCCTGAAACACATGAAAAATTATATATTATATAACATGTTTACAAACCATACAGCTTGAAGGTAGATATCTTTAGCAAAACTGGTACAATGATCTAAAATATAAGAATACAAAAACATTATTACCTACAGTTGTAAGGTGTCTTTATCTGTATCCTCCAGTTTATTTCTTTTGGGCTAATTAAGTCTAACCCTGAAATTGTGTGACAGTATTAGGCAATTTTCCGAATCAAAGACTGGGGTTTATGGAGTTTTGTTTCATGGCTCACAAAAAGCTCTTAACTTAATTTATCAACATTTGTCAGTAAAATGAAGATTACTTCATGAATCTAAGAGACATCAAAGAGAGAAGAAAAGATATACTAGTAGCCCATTAAAACATTTTGTCTAAATTACTGAAATATTATGTGAAAATTAACCCACAGAAAAATTCTTTATGAGTATGGTGTAAGCTGCATTAAGAAACATAAAATGAGGTAAAACTAAATTGTTTTGTGGTTATTTCTAGTTTGTTGTTCATGAGCTTAAGTAAAATATAAAATACTGGAGCTTAATTTGAATATAGTGTTGTACATACTATTGTAGGAACTTGAAATATGAAAGATGTTTAATTTGTTGAAATTCAAAGGTGAATGTTTAGCATAACACTACTATATTTAATAGTAGTGAAATATAGGTGAAAGTGGGCTGCATGTTTTACATCAGAATATTTTATTTAGACTATTAATTGTCAGTGATACATTTATTTTTAGGAAGAAGTAAAAAAATCCCCCATAATTTCATTAGAAGATAAGCAGGAAGCCAACCAACTACCACGAGGAGATGAAGATGATAAAGATGATGTTTGTGATATTAACCCTGCTTATCCTCATGTCAATCTCCAACTAGAAATTGAATCATTGAAACCCTTGGACAGTGCTCTAGATCTATGGAAAGATGTTTTTCTGACAAAAAATGGTGTTCAACAATCTATTATTAAAGACAAACAGATTATAGAGTACATCAAATGTGCAGCTGAGTCGTATGCAGTTTTACAGCATGTGGGTTATTTACTGTATTTTTTTAATGTAGTGTTCAAACAGAAAGTTTCTCTCCATGAACTACGTACATTTTCAAAAAATAATTATTCATTGATTTTTAAACAAGCTTCCTTAAATTTAATTGTACAAAATGACCTTTATATTTACTATACAGAAGGGAAGTAAAAGTGGTATATGATTTTGATTTAAAAACAATGTTTATTTCTTTATAAAACTTTCCTAAAATTTACTTTAACTTCTACAGGCCATGTGGTTTTAAATGTCTTTGTTGACAAATTATAGATTGTTATAGCTGTTGTTTCTACTCCAAAACAAATTTAAGTTCAAAACTCTGTTCTTATTACTAGAAGTTATTTTAGTTATATAGCTGAAAAATTAATTCTTAGTTCTAACTTTGAAATTCATTTAGATATTTTTTTCTGCTTGTTTCATGTTGTTGTTTTTTTCATCAAGGTTTATCAAGAAATTCAAGCCTTACTTGTCCTCCAGCAATCATCCCATCTACTAAATAATCAGTCTGAAGAGATTTATTCAATAAGCCGGCTTGTTCACGTTTTGTCAAAATTTAGAATGTTGGATGTAGCAGAAACTTTAGTGAAGAGAGGAGAAGATCTTCTGAAAGAAATAACAGATGCTAAACTCTTAAGTTTACAGTTGCTGCCCTTATTGCAATCAAGGTTTACATTGGCTTACTTAGAGTTTCTCTACCATTCAGGAAAGGTAATGTGGTTCATAATTACTGAAGGGTAAAAAATCTTTTGTTTTTAGGTATCATTGGTATGGTAGTACTTATAGTAGGAATGAGCCAGATGTGCAATACAAATTAAAAACTCCAACACACTGCAAACAGCATCTAAACAAAACTTTATATGTGCTTTACATACACTGTTGGGTAGTAAACAAACCAACTGCAGGGTAACAAGCCACCAAAGCACTTGAGAAAGTTGGTAGAGTAAAAACAAAAATTTCACAAAACCTCAAATTTGTCAATTTGACTATCTAACTGACTCATTAATATTGTTGGAAAGGCATAGCTCTCTCTCCTTCCTTCACCTTATGTAAATCGAAATGCACATGATTGAATTACACTACCTTGGCTAAAAGAATTTTTCTTAGTTTTACTTATAATCTTAGTAATAACAATAACCATTTTGCAACACTACTAATGAGCTAACAATACACTAGTAGCTATGTTCTATGATTAAGAGCATTCTCTGTGAGTTACCAAGTAACAACCCCCCCTTATATCACATGCATGTGCACAGTTGCTCATACACATGCACTACATGGTTAGCCTGATGCTGTATCAGCTAGATTAAAAAAATGTGTACTACATAGATTCTCTAGATCTAGGTTCTATGATCTAACCTTTGAAAGCAAAGTTTTTAGTTCTGTACATCTTTCTTGGGGTTTCTGTGTTGAACAAAGCCATTCTATCACTGCAGTCAATGTCTAATGCACGAGTCTTCTACGTCAGGACGATTGCTACCACTGCCAAAGTCTGACATGGCTGTGCTCAAGTGCTCTGGAATTAAAACAAGAACAATAAGTTGTATGATTTTCCTTTAAATTTTTTTCAAACTAAGTGTAACCTGATGACAGCTAAGGTTGTACTTGAAGCAGTGCAATTTTTGAAATATGCCTTTCAAGGTAACAAAATGAGAGAAGAGGAGAAAATATGTAAAAACTTAGTCTTTGTCCCACCAAAGAAAGCATTCCTGCAAAAACATAGATGAGGTTAAAAGCTGTAAGATTAAATATACAAAACAAGCCTTAGTCATTAAATCCAGCCAAAGAAAAGGCTTCCATCCTGGCTAGATGGAAGAAAAACTGTAGCAAGGATATTAACAAAAGCCAGGAAATGTGAAGAGATAGCTAAAAGTAAAGCTACAAGAAGGATAGGCCTAGAGCCCAGTCACTCATGAGGCTTAACACCAAGAAAAGCTACGAGAAAGATAGGCCTATAGCACAGCCACTCTTGAGACTGAGTACCAAAAAAAAAGCTGAGACAAGTGTAAAAATTGTTTTAAATATAAAAAAAAAGTTAGGAAGTAGGAATGGGAGCACCAAAAAGTGAAGAAACAAGGTAAGAATGGGCGGAATGATGACACTTGGGGATTTTTGACACTGTGCAACCACAAAGTTGTTGTGGCCGTCATTCTGCCCATGCCTACTCCATGTTTTACTTTGAACTTTGATCTAATTATAGACTTGAATTGAGTTTTATCAATAGCTAATCCTTTCTAAGTACTCAAAAAATTGAAAAATGTCAATAAACAGCAGTTTTGATACTATTGTGTTAGCCCACCCTTTACCAGTCAGATAACTATAATGTCTCCCATAAGCAAAGTATGACTAGTGGAGCTTCCTATTTGACTTCCGACATCAAACGCCCCCTTTATGATGTCATGCATTTTGTTAGGGTCACATAATTTGATTACATTCATGTATCTGTACTTGGTTGCTTAAACAAAGTTTACAACACAGAAATTTAGCTATATGCACCTTTCATTTAGTTTGAACTATTACAAAGTTACAAATATTACACAAAGTAGGAATGGGGGGGAGGTGATGGCCTCTTTGATATTGCACTGTGTCAAAAACCACCAAGTGTTGTAATGTTATCCCACTCATTCCTACCTTGTTTCTTTACTTTTTGGTGCTTACATTCCTACTTCCTAAATCGGAGCCTCAATACTGAAATATGCATACTTATATAGCAAAAATAGTAACAGTGTAACAAACACATCAGTGTTTTGTTAAGTTTGATACTTATTTTGTTTTTTATTTAGTAATAGTAGGCTTATTACAAACTGTGTTCATTAATTTAATCTACATGATGATACTAAGAATTTTTGTATCATAAATATTTTAATAGTTGTAAAACAGAATGCTGTCAAAACTAGGCAATCAGACTAAATGTGTGAGAAGGATTAAATTTTTAGATAGTTTTCTTTCCATTTTTTCATAGTTTGATACAGGCCGTGAGTTGTTGAAGCGGTGTGAAAGTTCTCCACTTTGGGAGAAAAACACCAAAACAACTATGCTTCTCCAAGCTGAAGCAAAACTGGTAGCCTGTCTCTTCAACTTACTGCCATCATCAGCATTCAGCAGTAGTTCTATTCAGAGAGGTGATTGTGCTTCCAAAAATAAGCTATTTCCTGAAAATCCCATTGTTCTAGCTTTAGATGCATGGAAGCTCTGTATGGGACTAATCAAGTATTTGTCTTCAGCAGAAGCACAGAAATCTTACAAAGGTAATTTAATTTTAATACGCATTGTTGGTTTAAAACAAAGTTTATAAAGACCTTTTTTCCGGTATTTAATATTTTAAAAGCCCACGTGAGCAGCCTTTAAAATACTTGGGAGTATTTGTGTTGGATCATAAGGTATTAATCATAACTTTGATACTATGACGAAGAAGTATATATTTATAAAAAGCTTACACTATGCAGTAAAGTATCTTTGTGATTGTTACAATATCACTATATGGGCTGGTTATTTAAACTTGTATGAAATTGTGTTAAGTTCAATATTCATATAATAAATCAGTTGTGGCCTGTGGGGAACTGTTGAGCTTCAGGTGGCTTGCCATTAACTTAATTACTATTAAGCTTGACTTTGTTCTGATCTGGACTTAATTTGTATTTGAAAGTAATGCCGTATACCTTTTTAAATGATTAAGAATTACATTCTATAATGCATGACTGCTATGAATTCAAACCATCTCTCACAATCAGATCTGACATAAAGTTTTAAGTTATTTGAGTGTAAAAGCTTCTATTCAGAACTGTAATTATCAACTTGAAGAAGTATGGTTATGTGGCTAAATCCTGTCTTTTTCAATGGGATATTTTTAATCACTTTTCATTGATAACATTTCTCTTTTAACAAACACTAAGCAGAGTATTACTTTGTTTGTAAACATATTCTATAACATAAAACCCTTTAGTGTGTGTAAGTGCATTTCTAAAAAGCAGTCTGGAGCAAATGGTGAGATGCTGTATTTCTACTTTCCTATTCTTTATGACTGTTGATGCTTTGACCCTGACCCCATGTCTTGTTTTAGGGAGTTTTCTAGATGTGCAGTAAAGTAGGTAAAGGTTTTTGCCAGGTCTAAGCTGCAGTTTAGATTTAACTTGGGAAAAACGTATATTAGTTTAAAATATATTATAGACTAAACTAATACTGTAACATCATAACTACTTAATCCTATATGGACCAATGAGCACCTTTCACATGAATCTGAGTTTCAAATGGACAGCAACTGCCTGTTGCAGAAACCTACAAATGTAGAGGACGACGTTTTCCGCCAACGAAAGGCAGAAGACTTTTGAAACGTCTTTGCCTAAACAACCTATCAAAGATCACCTTTCGCATGTTGAATGTGCACCTGCATATCAAATTTTAAAATATCTGTAGAAATAATAACCATATCTTTTTTGACAATTGTTTTATTAAAATATTTTATAATTCATATTTTATCATTTTTATAATATTTATTTATTGTAAATTGCAGAGAAAAATTAAAAAACAAAATTCTGACATCCTTTAATGTAGGTTGATGTTTATTAATAAATGTATCATTCTTTTCAGGGTTTTTATTATGTGAATTTCCATCTCTTTCTTTGATTTTATTTGTACAACCTCTTGATCACACCCTTTTATGACGTTACAGCATGTGATGCTAACAACTACTAATGAAGATCAGCTTTGAAAATAACAACAGGAAAAGTTTCAATACTATTGGATAAATCAGATTATGATTTATTCACTTAAATGTAGAGTGAATGAAGTGGTGTGAGAAGTAATTATGGTTTCGTGGAAAAATTATTAATGTAGCTCCTGTGGAGAAGATCAATGGAATTTAGTGAGAAATTTAGGAACAAGCTACAGATTTGGAAATTTGCTTTATAGTATCGTTAGACATTCTTTTCATTCCTGCAAATGTTTTACTGTTAAATTACGTTTATTTTAAAGCTACAAAAATTTTCTTGGATGATTTGATATCAGGTAAACCTAATCAGGTTTAAAGAATACAGTAGACAAAGTGAAAATATTCTGATGATCAAATTTGAGTCAAATCCTTATTTCTTAAGTTCTGTTGTTAATTTTATTGCATTCAAATAACATAGCTAACTAAAAAAAACTTATTATCTATTGAAGAAAAACTATTTATTAGAAATAAATTGATCTCAATCAAGAGTGTTGTTACCTAGCCTGACCTGATGCAATTTTGCAGGTCAGGTCATTGGTCACTGATGCATTTTGCCAGTTTTGCCATGTTTGGAAGGAGTGATTACTGTAATCAGCAAAAATTATATATATATTATTGACCTAAATCAAGCTGAAAGTGACTGGATATATAAAATGTAAGTTTCTAATCAATGGTAAAAAATTAAACTAAGATGAAAGGAAGTTTTTTTCAAGTGTCCATAAAACTTCCACACAAAAAAAAACAACAGAAAAATGAAATCAGATGATGTGTTTTTCATAAAGCTGAAACTATATTCCCTGTAGTAAGTTTTTACTAATTTTCATGCAGTGTGGTTAAGTATTTTCATTATGGAAAGGAAGAAATTAGGACATATCATTGACACAAAAAGAGTTAATATGCCATTTGTTATTATTGGGTATCATTCCTCAAATACTGGTATAATACTGCTTGATATATCAGTTTGAGTTTGAAATCCTTCTACCTTTTAAAGTTTCCAATATTCTTTAAAAATATGTGATTAGTCCATCTATATTTTAATCTTTTTCTATTTCATCTTGTTCTTAGTATTGGCATAGGTGCTGATGTTAGTATTTATCTTGTATTAGTTGAACAGTAATGAAGCTTCATAAAGTTTTATATTTTCCTATACAATTGTTGTGTAAAAATTAACAATGCTTTGTTATTGTCTTACAAATATTCTTTGTTATAACAGTAACTTCTCTTCCAGACTATCTCAGCTACAAACCTGCACTTCTGCATACATTGTTAAGTTCCACAATATTGGTTGGTCAGCTATATATAGATATTGGTGCACCTAGAGAGGCTCGTTGTTACTTAAAAGATACTCTAAAAGTTGCACAGGAAATGGCATTGGCTTACAGGTTTGTTTCTCATATTTCATCAGTTTTTTGCTAGTTAAATGATATAAAGCAGATTTATCAGTACTAATCTATTAGAATAGAAAGGTAATATTTTGTAGCAATAAAACTTGAAATATTACTGATGGGTTGTTATTTTTCCTTCAGAAGTAGCAAAAGTAAAGTTTTATTTGTTTATCAAGTATTTATTTTTACCTGTGGCATAACGACTCGTAGAATGGCTCTGAGTTTTTTGTCAAGTACAAATATTTATATTATAGCTCTATCTCTTGACTGATTTGAGATCTAAATTCAACTGTGGCTGTTGAGGATTCCTTCGTGTTTAAACAAAATGTAGAATATATTTTTCAAACTAGATAATTCAAAGTAATTCATTTCAACCTCCTTTGATTAAAAGGTGTAAACGTAAATACAATTTGCAAAATATAAGGTGACACGAAAAGTAAAACAAGAAATTTGTCAGTAGTTTTGATAATACAGCTATATAATGATTTGATTAAAAAATTACATACATTTTGTAATAGATAAATGCCACTTAGACTACTAGTTTCTTTGGGTAGAAGGTGTTATAGATTTCTGTGTATTAAATTAACTGCATTATTTAGTTCTTGGTTATGGTCTATGTTCGTCAGAATTATTGATAATTAATACCTTTTTTACTTCACCGACACAGCTGTGGTGTTCTCATGTAAAGAAAACAAAAGGGAAAGCTTGAGCAAGAATATTTGTTTATTTATGACAAATTGCGAGATTTTGTTGAACCATTGGATTGTATAGTGTATAAAAGATGTATCATCAGATAACTACAGTTTTCATAATCTCAATTACCATATTAATCATTATAATATGATAAGTCTTAATAATTATTGTACTTTCTGAAACATTGACATTATTTTCCCCAGTTTCTTATATTACTTTGATCTACTAATTTCTTAATCTTCCTAAGATATTTACCTAGTATAGCTTTAAAAGGCTACAAGCATTGTCTTTAAATTCCCTTCTTTCAGTATTTCAAAATTGTATTTAATAGTAGAGCGCTGTGACCCAGCATTGAATGTGCTTTATTAAAACTGCCTTTCATTTCACTTTGCTTTTGATATTACTCAAATATAATCTACATTCCTAAGAATTTTCTAATCACATAGTATTTGTAATTTATTAAGTTATTCTTAATTAAGTTTACTATTTTTTTTTGAGTCGTATTATTCTCCTCCAGATCGGCAGAATTTCTTCTGACCCTTGCTAATCTGGATGCCGTTTGTGAAAACATTAATGATTGCAAAGTGAAGTTGAATGGTGTTGAATATATTTTACACACTAGTCTACCAGCAACTTCTGTTAATTCCGAAGCAGCAAGAGAAAAAAATGAACTGAGTGAGGGAAGTGATGAAGAGGACTTTCTGGTAAGAAGACCAGGCCGTAGTTTGCGAGGCACAGTACGAGAACAACTACTTCATGGCCGTCGAGAAACAGAATCCTCTCCTATTTCACAGCAACATGTCAAGACTTCTATACCAACTCAGTGGGAACATTCCATAAGCTGCTGTTGTAATCTTTGCCAACATATAAAACTACATTCTTTGGAGCTAGAGATAGTGGGTCTTCAAGCTTACTGTTTAGCTGTGATGGGGTCTCGCTCCCGGGCTATTAGGTGGTTGAAAAATATTTTGAAACTAGTAACTTTTCTAGCTGACAAGGTGGATTTTCTTCTCACCTCTGCTGTCAAAATGATTTCCATTGACAATAATGTGTCAAATAAACAAAAGTATGGAAAAACAAAGCCTGTTATTAAAATACCTCTTTATTTTTACTTCCTTTGTCTAAAATTAGGAGTCAACTTGCTAAATTTTATATATCTGATGGAAATCATCAGTGGGCTCTAGAAGAGATTAAACTGTCTCTGGTAGAACTGAAAGAAAATGTCCAACCTTTCTACATGTCAAATATGTATGCCTTAATTTTGTACCAGCAAGCTGTTCTGAGGCTTCAAATGTGTGGTACAGAAGGTCAGGATTTAATGAATGTGTCAAACAATGTGTGGTTTATCAAAGCAGTGGACAGTAATGCACCTGATGCTTATGTTAGTCCTGTGGATGAAATATCAAAAAACGTTGCAAAAATTTCCCTAGGTGATAAGTTTGATACTAAAACACCAAATGAGAACTTGGGGGTACAGAAAACCCCAGCTACTTTTATTAAGACCAAAAAACCTGTTAATAGTAAAGGAATGACACGTTCTTGCAGGGCACCCACCAAGAAAGCTCCCAAAACAGTTTTAAGAAATTATTTAGACTCATTGGGAACTTCCACAGAAAATCAATCCAAGTTGAGAGATAGACAGAAATGTGCATCTCTTATGTATGAATTTGGTACAACAGATGATGATGATGATGACATTGGCAGTGACGAATGTTTTGTAGAAGGTAGTTACAAAGATCAAAGGACTAAATCGTCAGCTAGAGTCTCAAAAAGAGGAAAGAGTCGAACACAAAGGACCCGAAAAGATCTAAACATTGCGTGTCAGTCAAAGCTTACTCAGCCAGAATTACCTGGATTGTTTGTTACACCAAAGAAATCCAGAAGAAAACAACTAAAAAGGTATCCAACTGCTACAGAATTGGATACAAGTGGTGAAATTCCTGAACAGACTTCAGATAGGTTACTGACAGACAAATTTAAAAAAGCAGACTTTGGAGATGATACTGTGCAAAAAGTGCTTCACAGTAGAACAAAAGAAAATGTTTTTGAAGCATCATCTCCATCTTTCAACAAAGATTCTTTGCTTAACACTGCTACCATTTGCCAGGTGGAAAAAGAAAACAGTTCAGATCTGTTAAACAATGAAAAACAACTAAAGACACAGAAAAATAACAAAACTTCTAAAAACAATAACTCTGTAAAAGAGGTTCCAAAAACAAAGAGAATAACAAGGTTAAGAAAAAAGCAAAATAATGAATCAACAAAGATGACTGTGGAACATCCACGAGATGATGATAGCTCTGTTTTAAATGATATGTTGATATCTCCAGTTTTAGAATTTGTTCCCAGTCCAGATATACCTCTGAAAGACTCGGAATTTTTCAAAAATTGGTCACCCAAGTTGTCAGAAATTGAATTAATTGCATCAGAAGGAAAGCCATTTTATATCGGGCCAAGAAACAAACAAAAATCTGTAACATTTTCTCTCAGTAACGATACTTTTATGTCAAAAGTATCTGATGTAGGATCTCCAGAAGTATTTCGAGTAACAGAAGAAGCTCCTGTTACTAGTTCTATAAGAAATCATTCTTCAAGTAGGAAACCACTGAACAAAAGAAATACTAAAGCTACAAATAAGAACCCAACAAACTCCATAATACTGAAATCTGAAAGTCATGATACCAGTGATAAAGAAGAAGCTACGTGCAGTGTTGTGCGCTCTTCTGTCTCGGAATCTAACTTGGCCTCGCTTCTTTCCAGTCATGAAACTATGGATGTGAGATCGAACTTGGAGATGATTTCTCCACAAAGTCAACTTACTGAAAACTGGTGTGAAGAAAATTACAAAGGTTTGTGGTCAAGATCTCTTAAATAATTCTAAAAAAAAAAATGTACAAAAAAATTTTATTTTTAGGTTTGCTGTTATGTTTTTAAGTTGCTAAAACGCTTACTTTTTTTTCGTTCTTTGTTACTGATAAAACTATGCCTAAAGATTTCAATAAGTAGTTCAAACCATCCGGTACTGCACGTGCAATTTAGTAGGACACTATCACAACAGTTATAAATGTTCTTGTATTTACACAAATAAATATGTTAAGTAGTTATCATTATAATGGTTTCTCTTCTTGAACAATCAATATATAAAAAACGAACTTGTAGGGCTGAAAATAATAATTCATTGTTAAGTCTAGAAAAGTTATAATTGCTTCGTAATATGGAAAACAATAAAGACCATTAAAAATATGAGTTAACAAGGACCCGGCTTATTGGTTAGCATGCTCAGACTGTGAATTTGGGGGTTAATGGTTCGTAGCCCATTGCTACTTTGGGGCCAAGGGTGCTGTAAGAGTGATGGCCAAAACCATAATTTTATCAGTCAATAGTAGCCCAAGGGTTTTTTTTTTATTTGTTGAATAAAATATGTACTTAAGCTTCACTTGTTTGGAAATTTCATTTGAAAACAAAATGTTTAAAATTTAATTCTCCATCTACAAATAGGCTGGGCATTTTCTAGTGATTAGTATGCCCAGACTGTGGATTCAAGAGTTTCAGGTTTGGGGGCTCTGTGTCCACAATAATAGTATTAGTTAAATCCCATTATTTGGTTAGACAAAGGTTGAAAGTGGTTGCTGTTGAACACCAGATTTCCCTCTAGTCTATCAGTTCAAAATTAGAAACAAGTGTGCACAGATAGCCATTTATGTAGCTTTACACAAATCTAAAGTAAGTTTAGTGTTCAGAGTTGTGCAGAAAATGTCACTCAACTTGAGAAAGAACAGTTTGCTTGTTGTACAGAATTTCAAGGATGTTGGTAGTTGTACTTTGATTAGTAATAAAGAAACCTGTTGAACAAAATCCTGCTGATTTTCAGTAAAATTATTTTTATTTTTGGCTGTGTCATACACTCATTAAGAATATCTCTGTAATGTGTAATTTATTATTTTATTTTTGTTTACATATTTCCATTAATTTAATCTTCTCCACAGTTTACACCTTTTCAGTTTTGCATGCTTATACCAAGATGTATGGTCTCCTTTTAATTTACTAATTAATTATTAGCTTTTTTTTTTTTTTACTTGGAGTGAATACAATTCCATCTGTTAAATACACCAATAAAAGCTGCAGTGCAGCATTATTGTTGAATGTTTCATGATATTTCATAACTTGTAGCTTTTCACTTGTTATTTTATAACTAGGTACTTTGTTAATGAAGATTAAAGAAGACCTGTCTGAAGCTCTTACACTAATACAGCATCATCCTCCTTGTCCTTTGTATGGTAACATCTGTCAATTACTGGCTCTGTTGAGTGGTGTAGAGGTAAATTTTGTCTATTTTTTCCATTTAAAATGTGTAGTTATAACTGTGGTTCATAGTTTGAAAACTAGTGACAGGATTTCATTATTATTATTACATTTCAGTTCAGTAGTTCTTTCTCATAAAAGATAAAAGGACTAGTAGTGTAAAACGTTTGAGTTAACCTTAGGCAATATTACCAATGAACAACTGAAGTTTTAAGCTATGTAAGTTATCATAAACCACCTAAATTGATGACAACAAGCATGACTCATTCAAGCTTTCTTTTTACCCTTTTTTACTAATATGAAGATGTAAATAATTAAAACAATAATTTTTCAAGTACACAATTATGAAAAAAAAAACTATTCTGAGACTGATGATGGTCTCAGAATTTGTTTTATAATTGTGTACTTAAAAAACTATTTGTTTGAGTGTTTTAATTATTCATATTTACACAAGTACCTTGAATTTTACTTTTAATATGGAGATGTGTTTGCTCTAGTTCTCATTGTTGATTTCAGTTTCTACAGATCATGGAAATCTTTGAAAATCATGAAACTTGACATACATGTATTCCATATCTTGAAAACCTTGTAATTACACCAGCTTTAGTGATTGGCATGGAAGTAACAGGATTTTTTTCTTGTCCAGTTTTTATTCTTTTTCTCAAAGCACAGGTTTTAGGGTGATACTTCTGCACCCGCATTATCCATAAGTTGCCTTATAATGAAATCCTATTGTTTAAGTGACTATACGTGCACAGTACATAACAGTAATAATGTTACACAGTTTAATGACATCACATCTTGAGATACAATGTTTTCACAATACGTATTTCTATAATCTGAAAATCACGCAGGAAGAAAAACTCAATAATAACACGAAGTTACAAATCATAGCATTGGGAATTATTAGATGTATCCTGGGTTTTTAGGTATCTGAAGAAGACCTAGAAAGCAGTAAGAACACACTGTATGCCAGATGTAAGTTAATTTGCATGCCTTGTCTGTTACAGAAAAGCAATATGAACGTTAAAGCCCATGACATCTCACATCTATTGTATCTTTCACTGTCTGCAGCCAGTTATAGAAAAATAGTTACTATAGAAAAATAGTTACTTAGAAAGAAACAAAACCAGCAAGTTAATAAAAAAAGGCCACTGTGGGTGGCCTTTTCATCCACTAAAATGGTCAAAATATTTGTCAATCTGTAAACGACAAATGGACCATAGGGAAGCGATACTGTTCTAAATATTATTATGGTAAAAATTTATTAAAATGATAGTATTATTGCCAAAGTTATTAAATGTTACTCACTCATCCACCCTTAACAACTAACATTTACTAAAAATAAATACAACTACGATTACAGACACTATGATTTGTAACTTGGTTTTATTATTGTTTGTGTTGTTCCTCCTGTTGCATTTATTTTGTCCTGATTGTCATGGTTCACATAGTTATAACAATCATAGTTTAACTGTTTGGACACACTGTTTGTATGCTTTCCTTTCTTATGAGGCAAATTTGTTAGACTGCTTTGGTTTTCATACTGTGCAAAAAACATTTACATTTTTTTTGTTATATGTCACAAATATTTTAAAATTTGCTGGTTTTTGATTCATTGTTCCTTATATACAAAATATCTGTAAACTGCCATCATAGATAAACAAAATAATACTGGTAGTAAGAAGTTTATTACATTACTCTCTGTACAGATAAATGTGCTTGATACAAGATTTACTGAGTTTCGATAATACATACACTTGGAATAAGCAGGACTATTTTACCCTCAAATACTTTACAGATGAAAATAGGACAATCATGTTGTCACATTTGAAGTCCCCATTGAATAAACAGCAGTAAATTAGAACCATACATGTTTTTACATCCTTCTGCCTAGATCCAAGTACGTGTTTGTTGGTGTAAAAGTCGCATGGAAAATAAATAAGTTATGCATGGAATGTACAATTTGAAATAAACAGCAGTAAATTAGAACCATACATGTTTTTACATCCTTCTGCCTAGATCCAAGTACGTGTTTGTTGGTGTAAAAGTCACGTGAAGAATAAATGAGTTATGCATGGAATGTATAATTTGAAAAGTTGTGGGAACCCTGTACTTACACACTTTTAATGTTGTTTAGATTTTTGTACTTAACATACAAGGTAACATTAGGTTGGCTGAGAAATGCTGTTTAATACTTGGTAGAATGATCACTACCTTTGGATAACATTCATCTTTATCAACTTAGTTGGGCTGATAAGAGATCTCAAAAGTCCAACACTCAACTGAAAATGGTATGGGATTTGTTGTCCAGCACAAACACATGTTCTTCATATTTTAATTTCAAAGTGTTTTAATAATTTATGTAATTTTCTTAAACTGGTGTTAAATATGTATGTTAGCTTATCTCTAAATAAGATAGTCAAGCCTGGACTTTTCATCTTAATAAAGAATACCTGTAACATACAAGTTTTAACAGTATTTAATGTTTCCCAGTATTGGAGTGAGCATCAAATATGCAAAATATTATATAGATTAATACATGAGTGGTTTCTTAGTGCATCTGTTTACATTAGAATTAGCTTTTTAGACACATTTTTCTAAACCATTTATGTACCAAGTTACTTGTGAATCCAAGATATTTTTTTTTATTTCAAAGCTCCTACTGACATGAGTCACATGAAAAAATGTAAACAGAATACTATTAATATTACAATTAATCCCACTAATTACTGCTAGAGTTCCCTATGCATTTTTTATAGAAAATGAATGATTTCGCTCAATTTTTTGGTCATTTTATATACTCAATGTTGTAAAAACATGCAATATGTGGGCCCCACAGTTAGTGGATGATATATAAAAAAGTCAGTAATTTGAAAGCTAAACTTTAGAATCAGTTTATTCCTTCTGACTAAAACCATGTTAAAATTAGCATACCTATAAGTTTATCTTACCAAGTGTTTATTTTTTGATACTCTATTGTCATTCACAAACATGAGTTTGACGAACTAGCTTTCTCTACTACCATTTCAGATATGATTGTGGAGTAGATGGAGTCAAGCACTAAGTAAATATCCAGCTTTCCGCTATTTCAAGAATTAAAACACACAAAGACAAATTTTGAATAAATAAATAAATATAAGTGACAAACAACAAATATTGTAGTTTTTATTTTTTACCTTGATGTGGCCCATTCTATAAAAAGAAACTTGGGATTTTGTGATAGTTGTTATAGTAATAAACCTTGTAGTCAAATTTCAAAAATATTTAAAAAGATTTAATCAATTTTAATTTTTATAATGCAAATAACTTAGTCAAAAAATTATGCTCTATACCAAAGATAAACAATTCGTTTTAGTTGAATGAAAACATTATCCAAAAACTTAAGATTCACTCCACTTACATTGTTTTACATACTTAATTGTCTTTAATCTGTATTTTATGTGCATCTGATTGTAAAAAAAAAAAATTTTTTTTGATTATATGAAAACTAAGATTATCAACTTTATTGTTTGTGGAAATATGAATATATAAATGTCTTGTTTCAATGCAGAAGTTTGGTTAATGTACAATGTATCTACATTTAATAGAAAGTGCTTTAATTACTTTACTAGTAATCTGTGTTTCTCAAAATAGAAGTTAATTACACTTGTTTCTGGTTATAAAATTTGAATGCAACTTAAAGGGCTCGGCTGTATTCAGACACATTTAATATTAATATAAACCTAAAAACTTTTCCACCCTAGGGTGTAGCGAATTGTTGGCCAAACTTTTAGCAATAAAGATGAATATATCTCCAGATCACATCCTAACTTCTTTCAGGAAAGTTAAAGAATGTATAGAGAAAAAAAAGTTATTGATCTTGCATTTCAGTACAAATTTTCCTGGCTAAGGCTAGTGTTTTTCTTCGTACTCCTTGGGGAAAGGCATCTATGCCCAGCCCACCACTTCTAGTAACTCTGAAAGTTGATGTTCCTCACCATAGGGAAAGATTTTATGAAGTTCAAAAACATTGCTAAAAGAGATGGTCTCTCCCATGACAGTTCCCTTTAAATATATACTTTTTAGCAGTAGTGTTGAAATGTGTTGCTTTGATCTCCCTCTTTTCAGCTTGAACAGAAAGCAACTTTTCACATTGTTTTTGAACTGAAAAATAATTTTGTAACTAAGAGTTACAAAATTACAACTTCTCCTTAATAGACATTATGTATACTATATATTCTGTACACAAAGATTCTATCAGCCAATAAGGTGCCATTGCTGTTTAACAGCTGTATTTTTACTTGATCTCTAAGTATCTTACTTATGCCAAAACAGAACAAGTCTACATTCATTAAATCAGCAGTTCTCCTCTTAAAATATAACAGACTGCTTTATCTATTAATGCAGCTGCCTTATCACCAAATAGTTCTACTTCACAGTTCTTAATCTCTCCTATATGTACATTTAAATATACATGTATCATATCTTGCATATGAAGTTGTGATTAAGACTGTGAAACTTTTAATTTTTCACAACACTTATGTATAAAACATGTTAAATGACTTAAATCAAATATTTCTTGTTTTCAAACAAACTTGTATTGAATACTGTAATAAAGTATCAGACTTGTCCATGGTTAAAACATCTTTTGTGTTGTATGTATATATAATATGAAGTTTTGAAGAACATTAAATCTTCAACTTTCTGTTACTTCCATAAATGTTACATTATTCTATTCACAAATAAAGGATACGTTAAATTAAAAATTCAGAGCTGGTCTAATTTTTAATTTGAACCACTTACAGGACAATGGTTTCCCTGATGTAGAGAATCAAAAAATGACAGCAGCACATTATTTTAGTGAAAGTGTTGCTGTCACAATGAGACATCAAGCTTCCATTTGCTTGACAAAAAAGATCAGGTAAGACCTATTTTCTGTAGTTCTGTGACTTATCTCAAGTCATGTTAATAAAAAGTAATAAATTTCAAATCTAAAAATAAAATTTTCTTCATCAAAAAGTGATTTAAGTACCCTTGGCAGGTGTATGATTTGACAAAGTAAGTATTCTATGCTTTCCATGTGCTACTGGTAGTGTAATTGATCCTGTCTCAAACTTATGTTAAATAATATTTTCCTTTCATTGGAGTAAGTTTTGTATGTAACCTTTGAATCTGTTCAGATACATCTTAAGTTTAATGCATTAAATTAATTGTAAAGCTGTGTTTGAGAAAGTGTAATTCTGCTAACTTATCGCAACACCTGTGTATGCAACATGCTACATAACATATAGTTGAGTATTACTATCCTTTCAAATTATCTTAACAGCAAAAAGTTGTATCAGACCTTACAGCCCATGATTAAGTCATATTTTGTGTTGTATACTACTTTAATTTGCTAAACCTAAAAAAAAGTTAAATAATGATATTGTGTGCTGCCTTATGGGTTGTTTCTTACCGAAACACACACAAGAATTTTGCTCTGTAACTAATTGTAGCATTCATTTCTTTTATTGAAACTGGTTTTGTAATTGGATGAAATTTTCTTATCAAAGTAGCTGAAATAAGATTATCACTCTTGCTTTAGTTTAAATAGTCAAATATAACTGATGAACAATATTTATTTTATTTGGTATGTGGATCATCTTTCAAATCTTAACAAGTTCAATGAAAGCCAGTACTTTCAAACAAAATTTAACTTTTTAATTGCTTTTGACTAAGGAGTAGATATGTACCAATCAGGCCAATTTTTTGCAAAATGTGATACTTGATTTTTTTTATATGGATCTAATATAAAAATCTAGAACCACCACTATGTTAGCTTAGTAAGGCACTACTTGTTAGTAAGTATATTAACATTTTTTTAATCATATGCCATGTAATTCTGAACTGATAAAATAACATTTCAAGTTAATGCTAATTTGCATGGCTTAGTGATTAACATGCCAGACTGTGATCCCAAGTGTTTATGGTTCTCATCCTATTTATGGCCCGGCATGGCCAGGTGGTTACGGTACTCGACTCGCAAGCTGAGGGTCGCGGGTTTGAATCCCCGTCACACCAAACATGCTCACCCTTTCAGTCATGGGGGCATTAGAATGTGACGGTCAATCCCACTATTCGTTGG